ACACATGGCTTCCTGATTATTTATCTAGCCATCAATTTTACAAAGATTCGATCAGATTTCTCCCTTATACATAAAAATTCTATTTATAAGTATGTTTTCGAGATCACTAGTAAATTGTCTAGCCTTATTAAAATGTACATCTTCCCTGTGATCCAATGGCATTCTTGACAGTGTGGTATGGTAAATATGGTTTGCAGACTTTTTCGCTTTACTACCCTAACCCGAGTCCGAGTCCCGCAGATGGTGCTGATAAGACCTAAATGAGGCATAAATTACAGTTCACTCTGGAGCAGAACAACTTTTTTGGAGCAGGGCTATGTGAAATTCTATCAAAAATTGAGGCCTACTTATATCATTGTGGGAAAATCCACCTACCACTTCTTCTTCAACGAAATCGAATTTAGGTGAATATATTTCTTAACATTCCCTATGTTATCCTATGATTTTTTAATTCAGACCACCCTGGCAGTCATACTTAAAGACATATTCAAAGGACTGGCCAAAAAATTATAATAGAATGGGTATTATAACTTCGTCGATAAATACTTCAAAAATTTGTATTTCTGAAGTCCCTTTAGATTTACAATCACGAAATTCCCCATGTCTGTTTATTCTGAGAGATTCTTTTAGCTTTGATTCATCTTAACGAGATTTATTATGTTTAACACTTTATATATCCAGATTTGTAGCGTAACACTATTTTTATCCTCCAGGATTACAACCCTTTTATCTATTCGTACTTAAATTCATTATAATATTATTATCTTACTATATATGGAAACGGTTGAGATTCCATGGTGTAAAATTAAATAAGATTGAATTGTACCTTAAACGGTTATATTAAAAATGCCTTTCGTACTGAGTCCTTATATAAATTTACGGCCTATTAATTAAGAAATAGATAAAATATGATTTATAACCTAGAGCTATAATTTTAAGGTTTCAATTTTTCCATCATAAAAAGCTGAGGTGAATTCTGGTTATAAAGCCGATATTATTTAATAGACTTGAAGAATTAGAGGAGGATGTTATGAAAATCTTTAGGAGTATAATATACCATTGCTAAATGCAGAAATATACATATTTAATTTTTAAGCTTAATAAAACCATATAAATAAAATCCTTCATTACTTAAAATGAGGATAGCTCTATTATAAACTACATATTCTAATAAGCCTGGTGTTTGCTAAAAATATGGTAGTTTATATTAAAAATGAAGATAAAAACCGAGTTAAGTCAAGCATTTACATATTTATAGCCATGATTATTTCGTTTTAATTCGAAAGCTTGGTGTCGAATTTATCAAGTAATAATAAATTGTATTGACTAATTTTTATTGTCATTTAAAATCAACCTGTTTGGTTCCCTTTAAAACATAGCATGTAATTTCGAATTAAAGTTTAAGTCAATCACCCCATCGTTCCTTTTGCAAACACAGGCATAAAAACCTAATTTTTTGAATACTAGAAACAACTTTTATAGATTTCTACTTACGCCCTCTTCTAGTTCTGCTTCCTCGTCCACCTCAAACATGCCAGCAGGCGCTATCCAGCTGGCCGCTGTGATTCGGGCGATCTGAGCCCGAAGCAGGTGAGCCTCAACACCGGGAAATTCACCTGCAAGGCCGCCTGGAACTGGAGAGTTCAGCCGGCCAGTAAACAAACGACGGATGCCCCGAGCTTTTACAATATGTTCAGGTCGTAGGCTCGGCAGTCGCACCCATGTGGTTTGGCCGGGACCAAGTTTAGTGCAGACGTAGTAATCCCACCGGTTAACACCGTGGCCTCTTTCTTCCGGGGGTATAGGGACTGGTGGGTGCCATCTATTTTTAGGAACATCTTTGTGACTGATTAAGAGTTTGCTATCAGTCAATCGGAGCTGTTGCTGCGCGGCTTCACGGTCACTTTGATTTGAAAGAGAGTCTCTGTATCCTTCTGAGGAGCACCCATGAATTTATAATTAAGAGAAAGATAAGTCAACCCACGAGATATATAGGATTTATACAAAAGTAAATCAAACAAGTAAAATTGGACTAAATAGTGACTATAGCTCAGATTAAAAAAAGTAGGAAGCAAGTAAAGTGTTAGTCTCAACTATATAATTCAACTCTTGACTTATTTTTTGAAGGATTTAAGGGAGCTTAAACCTCTAGCTTATTTCATCGTTTTAGAAAAGCTCTTTGCAAGTAAACTTGAAACAAATATTTTGTCATGCGACTTATATACAGGATTAAGCGATACATTTCTCTCTATTTCCTAATTTATTTGAAATCTTTATAAATTTAAAACAAACTTATCTACGATTTAAATCCTTTTATTCCTTTTATTACAAAAAAGGGGAAGAGGGAATCCCGTCTGAAGTCATATACACCTAAATTGGAACCACAATAGAAAATTTTATTTTTATTAATATAAATTGCCTTGATTATATGTAGGGAAAATGATGTTTATTACACAGTAT